ACACATAGGCAGAGAATGCGCACATACTACATAATTTGGATCTTGTAGATATGCCTGAGTTAAGAGGAGTAAGAATGTTTTGCAAGGGGTGAGAGCTTTGATGTTTCCAACTGTGAGTTGGAATACTTACTGGTTCTTGAGGTGCAGACGGACCGGTATCATTAGTAGACTTATCTCCTATTTCAGATGTTTTATCAAAGGGTATGGGTTCTTTTTCCCATATTTTTGGTTCTGATGGCTTGGAGCAGGTTCCCTGATTTTGTTCATCCTCTAAATTTCCTTCAACTTCACTAGTATGTTCATTAAAGACAACATGGACACTTTCTTCTACACAGTTTGTTCTTTTATTCAGTACCTTATAGGCCTTGCTTTGTGATGAGTAGCCCAGGAAAATTCCTTCATCACTCTTGGTATCAAATTTTCCCAAATTGTCTTTGTCATTGTTGTGTATAAAGCATACACACCTAAAGGCCCTAAGATGTGCTAAATTTGGTTTTCTTTCTTTTAGCAGCTCATATGGTGTTTTGTTTAACACTGATATGATCATACATCTGTTTATTAGATAGCATCCTGTGTTTACTGCTTCAGCCCAATAGAATTTTTGAAGTTTGCTTGAAATTAACATTGTTCTTGCAATATCTTCCAGTGTTCTATTTTTCCTCTCACCAACACCATTTTGTTGTGGTGTTCTAGGTGCTGAGAAGTTATGCTCAATCCCATTTGTAGTACAAAATTGTAGGAATTGTGAGTTCTCAAACTCTAGCCCATGATCAGATCTGATACTGATTATTTCTTTGTTGAATTTCTTCTGAACCAGCTTTGCAAAGATTTCAAACATAGTGAATGTCTCATCCTTTGTTGCAAGAAACAATGTCCAAGTGAATCTTGAATAGTCATCATCTATTACAAACACATATCTTTTTCCACCCCTGCTTTGTACACGCATTGGTCCACACAAATCCATGCGAAGCAGTTCTAGTGGCTTGGTAGTACTTACTGTCAACTTTGGTTTGAAGGATGACCTAACCTGTTTTCCTTGAATGCAGGTTCCACATACTTGGTTGTCCCTGAAACTTTTGGTTGGCAGTCCCCTAACCAGGTCTTTAGATATGAGCTTGTTTATAGTTGTCATGCTATTGTGTCCCATTCTTTTGTGCCATAGCATGGAGCAATCAGAGACTGAACTTAGACATTTAAGAGTATCTTCCTTGGAGTCAACAATCTTGGCTTTGTACACATTCTTGTGTCTCTTACCTAGTAGAAGCAGGTTCCCAGTCACTGAGTTTGTTACTCTGCATTCCTTTTCTGTAAAGAGAACATTGTTTCCTTTATCACATAGTTGAGATACGCTCAATAGATTATGTTGTAGGCCATTCACATAATATACATTTTCAACTGCATGAGTATCCATTGATCCAACCTTTCCAATTCCCTGAATTTCCTCACTTTTTCCATTACCAAAGGCAACGTTTCCTCCTTTGATGTTATTGAGTGAGAGGGAGCTTCTTTTATCTCTAGTCATGTGTCTGGAACATGCACTATCCAAGTAACATTGTTGCTGCTTTCTCTTCACTGATCCCTGCAATTTAATTTTGGGGATTAGATTTTGGTACCCAAATCCACTTTGATTTATGCTTAGGGAATGGGTGGATAAGATTTCTTCTGGCCCATCTAGGAAGAGATTTGACTGTAGGAATTTGTTTTTGCTCATTGGGTTTCTCATGATGAGGTTTTCTCAAAGACTTCAAGTTTTTGTTATGAGCAGTTTGTTTTCTTTGACAATCATGATTTTTATGCCCTACTAGCTCACAGTGCATGCATAGACAATCTATGTTGGGATTTTTTACTTGAGAGATAGTTCTATCAAAACCTATCCCATGTTTCTCAGATGTGCGATTCTTGTGAATGTTGTCAAGCAGTATGGAAGACTTGGTCCATCTCATTCCATTTTCTTCTTCAGTTTTAGTCACAAGAAGCTCTTTGGAGAGTGCTTCATTCCTTTTAGTTACCAAGTCTAGGTTTTTACTTAGTTCAATATTCTTTGATAAAAGATGAAGATTCTATTTTTCAAGAATCTTGTTTTCTTCTCTTAGTGATGCATAGTCTTCCATTATCAATTCCCTTTTTGAGTATATGGTTTTATATGCATCAATGAGAGTGTAGAAGAGGGATTCTAGCTCCCTTTTTGAGTATGAGCTATATTGTCTTGTATGTGATGAAGACTAACCTTTTCATTCATATCTTCTTCTTCTTTATCTTCTTCAGAATCTGATCCAGCCATGAGTGCTAGTATGGTTTCTTGTGATCTGCAGGTTTCCTTTTCTTCCTTGGTTTCCACTACTACAAGATCAAGAAAGTCATAATCATCTTCTTGTTCTAGTGCAAGAAGGGACTGGTTTTCTGTCTCATCACGCTCAGACTCTTCATCAGATGAATTCCCCATTGTTGCGAAGACCCTTTTCATTGAAATATCTGCCTCTTGAGTTGTCATTCTTCTGTTTGAAGGGACAAACTTATCATTCTTGATGTCTTTGCCATTCTCAAAGTTTGTATTTTTCTGATCTAAAGCCCAAAGTGGACAAAATTTGATGAAGTGATCTGGGCTCCCACACTTATGACAAACCTGGTCTTTTTCAGATTTTTTTTGAGAAGTTTTCTTTTGAAAGGCCTGTCCTCTCTTCAGCATTCTGGTGAACCTTTTGGTTATGAGGGCAATATTTTCATCTTCAAAATCATCTGATGTAGTAGCCTTTAGAACCAGGTTCCTTTCCTTCCTTTTTCCTCCAATTTCCTTTTCTTGGTTTTTCTTGAGTTCATATGTGATGAGATTACCAATCAACTCATCCATGGCCAGTGAGTCTAGGTCGCGGGCTTCAGTGATAGCCTCGACTTTGCTTTCCCAAGTTTCAGGAAGGACACTCAAGAGTTTCCTTACCACCTTTCCATTAGGAACTATCTCTCCCAAGGAGTACATCTCATTTATGATGGAGGTGAACCTGGTGTGCATGTCTTGAATAGTTTCCCCCTCTGCCATCCTGAACAACCCATATTGCCTGTTTAAGTTATCAATTTCAGACTTCTTGACTTGTGTTGTTCCTTCATGAGCGGTTTGTAGTGTTTTCCATATGGCTTTGGCATCTTGACAAGATGAGATTCGATTGTATTCATCTGGTCCTATGCCACAGATCAAAATTTTCTTGGCTTTGGCATTGTTTTGGATTGCAAGCTTGTCTTCGGCATTCCATTCTTTTCTTTCCCGTGGGATTTTGGTGATTCCATCAGTTGCAGTTTTCATAGGTATGGTTGGTCCATCTAGAATTACTCCCCATAGATTAGGGTTTTCGCCAATAAGATGGTCCATCATACAATTTTTTCACCATCTATAATATTTGCCATTGAACAGTGGTGTTCGTGTTTGTGAAGCTCCCTCTTGTGGGGTAGGTGGTGCTGCCATTGAGTCTTTTTAAGGTGTGAATCTTTTATCGAAAAGACCTGCTCTGATACCAATTGAAGAAACCTTACCCCGGAACACGAACCAGGTTCTTGTAAGTTGCTTTTAATAAAGACACAAACACTTATTGAATTAAAAACCTTCCTCACTCAAGGAAGGAAAAACCTCATTTTATTAATTCAACTATAAGATTTTGTGATTACAACTCAATAATCAAAAGTCTTATCTTTATTACCTCTCTCGATTGACTTCTATCAATCTCACCAAAAGGCCAAACCCATCTTTTGTAACAACTCTCACTAACACTCAACCCTACAAAGAGCCAAACCCACCCTTTGTACAATAAACTGTAAATTACAATCAAGAACAAAACAAGAAAATAGTTCTACACGTTAAAAACCTTCTCACTCAAGAACGTTTTAAACGTAGCAAACCTATCGATCTTGAAGACTTCAGTTTGATGAATAATTCTCACTTTTCTCTCTATGTGAAGTCGTGGGATTCTTCATCTGCATCGTCCTCTTCTTATAGAGTTTCTTTTGCCTTGTACAATCCTTATCAGATAAGGTAAGGAAGTTATTGTTAAACAAGGATTCCCTTTTAAAGTGCAATCCTTATTATATACAACTTCCTTCCTTAATAATATATTTAAGGTTTTTCTTATTTGTATCAACTTATACCTTTAATATATTATTTTTGGCTTTGACAAATAACTCTATTTTCTTGATTACTTGGCTGACCCATTTTACTCAATCTTGGACTTCGAGCTTGGCTTCTTTTGATGCGTACATTTGCTACTTATTCTCTGCGCTTCTTGTCTATCATCAAAACATGAATTATCGATTCTATCATATTCTATCAGTATCTATTGAGAGAATCAATTTAAAATCAAATAACCCCAAATTATATACTCTCTTCATTTTACAAAAAATGATTTAATTTGATTTGACACGGAGTTTAAAAAAATAAAGAAGAATTTTGATTATGTGATCCTAAATTAAAGTTATGTCAAATGTACGAAATTGCCCTTTAATTTTGTAGTCTTAAACATGCCACGTGCAAAGTTATTACCATAAAAAAAGATCATTCTTTTTTGAACAGACTAAAAAAATATGAGATTATATATATATATATATATATATATATATATATATATATATTACTTTACTTGTTAATTCTCTCTTATTTATGAATGACACTTATGGTGTACCAATACGACATAAAAGAGTTGTACCAAAAGTAATCTAAATTGTAACCCTCTTATACTTATTTAGAATATGTAGAAAATAAGAAATGACACTTATGGTGTACCAATAAAGCATAAAAGAGTTGTACCAAAAGCAATCTACATACATAGTAAGCCTTATAAGCCAACAAGGGAAAGTACTAAACAACTTTAAAAAGTTTTACCAAGAGAATTAAAAATTGTACTATATCACTGAGCTCTATTACTGATAAATAAACACGTGTACAATACATGCTTCATACGAAATGCTATTTTGATTCTTTGTCGTTTTCAAGTTTAATTAGTTTTTTCATTCCACATATTCTCACTTTTGGTGGAGAAGGAGAAGAACAGACTTTCATATGGAGGTATGTCATTTTCCGAGAGTAAGAGCAAGTTGATGGAAAATTAGAGGAGAGTGAATACGAGTTTCGAGCTGGTGCGTCAATTTGGTAATGAAATTTTATATTTGGCCATGGCTATCAAAATTGGAGGTAATTTTTTCATTCTAATCATAATTTTTTGGATTTCCCTTCCACTTTTTGGGTTTAATTATTTTATTTTTCTGAGTTGTTGATGTTGTCTTTTACTTCGAATGTGTTTTTGACGTGGAATTTGAAAAAGTTACAGGTTCTCCATCACTATAAATTGAGTGCAACTAAGACTGAAAGAGTGTGAAGTATAAACTCACCAAAAACCTTGTGAGCTTTTGGTGCTCTTTCTTTACCTGATTTTGCACATGCATGTACTAATTCACCATTTTGTTTCGATTTCATAGGTGTATATGGTATTAGGAAGAATTCAATGAAAATACGGTTAAGACTATGAATAATATCCCTAAAGGTTAGTATTACATGTCAGCCGATAGACACTTTTGGTGATTTTTCTGCCCCTTTTTTTCTTCGTAATATTGTGTCATTGTTAAGTTTTTGTATTTCTCACCTTTGAGATTCGTTATTTTTTTCTGTTATATATTCTCGGCTTATTATTAATTAAATAATTCTTGATTAGAATCTATTTGGTTCATTTGTATTCTCGATTAGTCGAGTTGAATTCGATCAATATGCATTTCTCAATATTAATATACAAATTTTGAGATGCAACACAAATATTTTGCATTCTCGCAAGTCACAGGGAGAAAAAGTATCAACTTGAGGAGAATCTGATGCACAGTTCAAACATTGATCCTAATTGAGAAAGAAAAGAAGTTGTATCACAAACATCCAATCAAAAAATGATGTAGACTTCGTAGCTGAATATTAATTAGGTATCGACATTACAAAACATCTATTTCAATGCTTCTTTCGATAAAGTAATAGATTTTATAGAAAGAACATCAAGAAGATGCAATTACACCAATATTGAACATCTATTGCAATTTTTGAACAACTATTAACTGGATTGCAGCTATAGGGGTGTAAATGTGCACTTTTACGACAGAGCTTGTTGAGCATATGTTTGTGAGTGTGTCTTGACACACTTGGTGTGATGAGGGCACAAATACATGCTTTGAAGTTATAAACACCAACAAGTACAACTATTTGAGCTAATATTCGTAAAAGCTTTTATGTGTGGACATGTTAAAGGAGAAACCTGATAAAATTTTATACCAAATTGTTTTCCCTTAATTTTTATCAGTAAATGAGGCTAAGCTTTGCCACTAAAAGCTTAGTTAAATGAATAGTGAGATAGTCTTTTGTAGTTTTACTTTACATGAACGTAGATAGTTATTTGTCTTTGATAAGCATTTTTACTTTGTAATAGTAAAACAAATTGATGCCAAAAGCATAGCTACTAAATAATTTTATATAGAACAAATTGATGCCCAAAGCATGACTACCGTTCCAAACTATTTCATACATCTAAAATAAGTTTTTTGACACACACAACTTGATTTTTAAAATTTTTTGATTCTTATACTCTCTTATGTGTTGAAGAAGATGTTTGACAATAAAAGACAACATTTAGATAGAAAGAAGATGAGTTTTAGGAGAGGAATTTATCACATATACAAACCCTCCAAATATATATTTTGCAATTTTACTTGATATTGGAGTAGAAATATTCACTTCAGCTCTTTCTAACATTTGAATTGTTAATTTGAATATTTGTAGACAAGTTCTCACTAGGTTTGAGCTGTTGGACAAAATGATAATCACACTCATGATAATGTCCAAAGTATATAGCAATAGGAAGAGAGTAACAACGACATCAAATATTAAAATGGGTAAATATGATACCCGTATAAGTAATACAATAATATTGATGAAAAACTTGGTAGTGTCAAAAGATTACTACTCAACACTCTTTTATTTCTTACAATTCACAATAATATTATTTGCACACTATTTTCTCGCAAATTAAGAAATAGTTTGTGGATTACTCTCTCTACACTCAATTGCTTCTCTATTTTGTTGTGTCTTCAAGTGTTCAATTGCTACTCTACTTATAGAGTTTTTTAAACACTTGTTTACATCATTAATGACATAATATGGTAGACAGTTTAAAAAAAAATTGACTGCCTAACTCTATCAACTTATATACCAAACATTCACTACCTACTTCCACAAATTTGGATTTCAACTTTCACATTGGTGGCTAACAATTTTCACATTCGTGGATTGTAATTTCAACAAGTATGACTGTCAAATTAATTGTTGCCAAGATTTTTTTCCACAAATCTCTCAATTTTGATTTTTCTTCTTTACTCCAAGGCTTGATCTCAATCTCCAAAAATCTTCAAACTTGAGAGGCTTTGTAAAGATATCTGCAACTTGATCATGACATTTCACATACTTGAGCTCTTCCTCTTTCTTGGCAATGCATTCTTGGATAAAGTGATACCTTGTGTCTATGTGCTTGATTCGATCATGATACATCGGATTGTTTGCTAGTGCTTGCGCATATTTGTTATCAACACAAATCATTGTGGCTTTAATTTGTGACAAATTGAGATCCTTCAACAATCTTCTCAACCAAATAGCATGACACGTACATGATGTGGCTGCCACATATTCAACTTCACAAGTCAAGAGAGTAACAATTTGATTTGTTTCTTTGAACTCAAATAAATAACACAATCACCCAAAAAAAACACAAAACCTGATGTGTTTTTTCTATCATCAACATCTCCCACATAATCACTATCACAATATCCCACAAGATTAAAATCATCAGAAGAAGAATAAAATAGCCCAAGGTCGATTGTACCTTTTAGGTAGCGAAGAATTCTTTTAGTAACCTTCAAGTAAGTGGAGGTAGGAGATTCCATGAAGCGACTTACTGTTGCGAAAACGTGGACAACACCAAAAATATATATTACTATAATAAGTAATTTTACACTGTATAGTCACAAATACAATACTCAAAGTGATTACTACACAATCAAAAGAAACAACAATCTTTTGGTATCCACCTTACTAAAATATCGCTCACACTCTATTTTTCTTCACAGACTATTTTTCTTGTGTATATGGAATACCTCACTTTGCTCTCAAAATGAATTTTCTCTCTAATTTGGTGTATACTAGAAATGATCAAGAATGCTCTATTATAAAAGGATAAAACCATGTCTATGTCACTAATGACATATGTAAATATAGCAATGTCAAAAATAGTTGCAAATCTTACCAATTTGCCAACTACCAAATCTTTTATTTTTAACTCTAATTACTATTCCTTTTTAACAATTATTTGTATCAATTGAATAGCAAAAGTTGACCAAAAAGTGGGATGGACTCAACAAATCTCCCCATCCAGTCCCATTCGCTCGAAGAAGGTATCTTCATCTTCTTTAGAAAGAGCTCATACCTACATGCTCTTTGCATAACTCGAACTTGTCTTTCAATATCATCTTGGTCAGTATATCTGCAAAATTTTCACTTATGTGGATCTTTTTTACGTGAAATAATTCACTCTCCATTTCCTCACGAATCTAATGATATCTGAAGTCGATGTTTTTTGTTGTTAAATGATACATGGAGTTCTTACTCAAGTCTATTGCACTCTGGCTATCACAATCGACAATATACTCCATCTGATTCAAACCAAGCTCTTGAAGAAATCGCTTTAGCCATATCATCTCCTTGCCGGCTTCAGTATCCACAATATACTCAGCTTCAGTTGTAGATAGTGCAACACACTTCTACAACTTCGACTGCCATGATACAGATCCCCCTGAAAAAGTAAACAAATATACATTAGTGACTTTTATGTTATCAAGGTCACCTGCCATATCAGAATCTGTATAGCCTTTCAAGATTGGATTTGATGCTTCAAAACACAAATATTCATCGGAGATTCCTCTAAGATACCTGAGTATCCACTTCACATCTTCCCAATGCTCTTTTCCCAAATTTTTGAGAAATCTGCTGACAACCCCAAATGCATGAGCAATATCAGGTCTAGTGCACACCATTGCATACATTAGACTTACAATGGTGGAGGAATGTGAAACTTTGGCCATGTTCACTTTTTCCTCCTAGCTGTAGTACATATGTTCTTGCTCAGCTTCATCTGACCAACAAGAGGTGTACTAACAGACTTAACATTCTTCATATGAAGCGCTCCAGTACACGTTTAATGTACTTCTTCTAGGATAAATAAATCTTCCTTTAATCTCTGAGACGAGTAATTCTCATGCCCAAAATTGCTTGGCATGGCCCAATTCTTTCATAACAAAAGACTTATGCAACTCTTTCTTCATCTCGTCAATCTTGAAAGTATTCTTGCCCACAATCAACATATCATCCACATACAACAAGAGGATGATAAAATCATCAGAAAATTTTTGTTCAAATACGCAATGATCTGAGGAATTCTTCTTATAGACTTGCTCCCCATAACAAATTCAAACTTCTTGTACCACTATCTAGGAGCTTGCTTTAAGCCATATAGACTCTTTTTGAGTTTTCACCTAAAATTTTCTTTACCTTCTACTTTGAAGCCCTCATGTTGTTCCATATAAATATCTTCTTCTAGGTCACCGTGAAGGAAAACCGTCTTCACATTCACTTGTTCAATCTCTAAATTAAAACTAGCAGCCAAACCTAGAACTGTGCGAATCAGGTACATTTTCACAACAAGAGAAAATATTTCGTCAAAGTCAATACCCTTCATTTGACCGAATCCCTTCACACCTAATCTAGCTTTGTGCCTGGGCTTCAAGTTGTGTTCTTCAACTTTAACTTTGAACACCCACTTGTTCTTCAAGGCTCTCATGCCCTTAGGCAATTTTACCAACTCATAAGCGTGGTTCTCATGCAAAGACTTTAACTCATCTTGCATGGCCTCAATCCATTGATCCTTGTGCTCATCTTCCATGAACTCCTCATAACATTCAGGTTCTCTCCCGTCAGTGAGTAACACATACTCATTGGGTGAATAACGGGAGGAAGGAAATCATTGTCTTGTGGACCTTCGAAGTGGAATATTTGATCCGTCCACAACTTTAGGAGCAATAGGATCATCAATAACAATACCATTGTTATTATCAACATCAACATATTGATTCCATACATGATTCTAGGCGTCACCATGATTATCAAGCCCAATAACATGATGCACACTTGTGTGTGGAACGTCATCATGATAAACTATACCATCAAAACAGGAAGATTCTACCTTCTCCGCTTTGTCAATATCTTTAATTGCTTGATTCTCCATAAAAATAATATCACGACTTCTCACAAGTTTCTTTTCAATTAGATCATATAGTCTGTAACCAAATTCATTTAGGCCATATCCAATGAAGATGCATTGCCTTGTCTTGGCATCTAACTTTGACCTCTCACCTTTTGGCACATGTACAAAAGCTTTGCAACCAAATACACTCAAATGGTCATAGGAAACATCCTTTCCATACCAAACACTATTTGGTACA